AATCCCTAGAGCTATAAGGGAAATCACATGCTCAATAAATATTTCCAAAGCCCCGGTCTGTTTGGCTAAAGTGCATTTCCAAAAAGAGACAAAACTCTGCTGGAGGAATGTCTGCGGAATGGGCTCTTTGCTGTGCACATCCTCTTTATTTCCTTCTCCCTGGCTCTTTGCCAGCGAAAGCTTCCTCACCCTTGGGCCACTCTTCTCTCCTATTGGCGTTTCACATATTTCTCTCTTGCTTAAAAAGCTAGGTTTGGCTCCATTTTCAGAATCCCTGGAAAACAAGAGTTTATTCTCTCCCATTTACATGGACAGGAGTTCTGCTCACATAATCAACCCATCTGGGTGCTTTTATGGCCCTTATCGCAGAATGAATTGAGCTCCCTCTTAAGCGTAAATTGCGACAGACCTGTACTTAGGCCTGTAGGTCCATTGGAAATCCTTGTGGGTGCTGCTTAATGTGAGTGGGGGCATATTAGGCCCAAACTGTAGGGAACGTCCTGTACTAGCTGGGGGGAAACAGCCAGGCATGTCCTCTAGCCCTAACTCCTATGGGCTATGGTTAAAGATGGACAGCGTTTGTAATTCCAGGTGAGTTCAGCTCTCTCGCTGTGATGAAATTGGGGTGAGATCATGGCTGACCCTGCACAGGTGCACAAAAGGTCCTGGGAAGCCTTCCCTCTGGCCTAGCATTACTGCACAGGGATGGGGTCACGCTCCCACGGCTTGCGTCTGGGACTTTTGAGGGTGCAAGTGGTGCTGTGGTCTGCTGTGAGAGCCTGCACAGGGAGGGAAACAGACAACTGCAACCAGAACAGTGCCCCCCCTCGGCCACTGGGCAGAATTCTGCTGGTGCTTGACGGTTGGGATTCTCAAAATGCCTAAGGGACTTGGATGCTTGGTTCTCTTTGAAAATCAAGGGGAGTTGGGCACCAAATCCCTCTCGTGCTTGAAACATCTCGACCTGAGTGTTGTGGAAAATTGCTGTATTTCACAGGCCTTTTGCACTTGCATCCTGATGCCAAAATTCCTGAAGAAATTTCACTACACACACACACACACACACACACACACACTCTCTCTCTCTCTCTCTCTCTCTCTCTCTCTCTCTCTCTGACTGCAGGCAAAACCTTGCTGGATGCATACACACTTCCATTTAAACATACTATCAGAACCGAATCCAGGTGGTGAAATCCTAATGCCAATTAGAGTCAATAGCAAACCTCCCACTGACTTCATGGGATTTCACCCCAAGAGGCCACACATCAGCCCCATTCTGAGTACTTGATGATGCCTATTCCTCTTACAATTCACACTTCCAAAATCTGATGAGGCTGATGTAAGAGGAGCCCCCAGTTCTTTGTGCCCTAATAATTGTCACCCAGGATGCATCCCCTAAGCCTCCCCCCAACTTGTATTGAAAAGACTCCCTGAAAACTGCTCTTAGGAGTTGCTTATTTATTGCTTTCAAGAGGGAATCTTTGAATTGCCATTACTGCAGAAGAGCTGTAAACCAGAGCAGCTATATCACTACCTCTCAGGGTATGTCTACACTGCAATAAAAACACAGTGGCACTGAGGGCTTGGCTACACTTGCAAGTTAGAGCGCATTAAAGCAGCCCCAGGCCCACTAGCTCACTACCCATCCACACTGGCAAGGCATGTAGAGCGCTCTGACTCCACAGCTAGAGCACTCCTGGTACTCCACCTCCATGAGTGGAATAACGTTTGATGTGCCTTGGCTACAACACCCGGGCATCAGTGTGAACAGGGTGTTGCATTACTGCGCTCTGAACGGCCTCCGGAAATGTCCCAGAATCCCCTTAAGTCAAGTGGCCACTCTTGTCATTGTTTTTGAATCACTGCAGGAATGCGGATATGCCCTTTCAAAGCTCCGTTTCTGACAGCCGGCATGCTTCTCTGCTCCGAGACAGAGCAACCATTACTGTGGAATGCTGTGTGCGTGTGAGAGAGAGGCAGGGGGTGGGGAGGTCTGTGCTGTCTGAACTTACAAGACAGCATGCTGACATGCTCTCAGCCCCCCCCAAACCCACTGTCTCTCCCCCCGCATACACACAATACACTCTCTGTCACACTCCACCCCGCCACATTTGAAAAGCATGTTGCAGTCACTTGCATGCTGGGATAGCTGCCCATAATGCACCGCTCCCAATGCCACTGCAAGTGCCGCAAATGTGGCCACACCAGTGCACTTGAAGCTGTCAGTGTGGACAGACTGCAGCGCTTTCCCTACTGCGTTCTCCGAAGGCTGTTTTAACTCAAAGTGCTCTACATCTGCAAGTGTAGCCATGCCCTGAGTCTCAGAGCCTGGCTCAATTGACTTGGGCTCACAGGGCTAAAAATTCCAGTGTAGTCGTTCGAGCTTGGGCTGGAGCCTTGGCTCTGAGACCCACCCCCCTTGCGGGGGGTCTATGCTGCCATTTTTAGCCCCACAGCCTGAGCCCCCTGAGACTGAGTCAGCTGATCCAAGCCGGCCGCAGGTGTGCCACAGCTCTTTCATTGCAGTGTAGACGTACCCTCAGTGACCAAGGCACCCTTGAATGCTGCCCCCTCTGACACCCTCCTGGCCTACAGAGAAACTCTGTGCTCTCTGCTGTTTTCTGTAAGTCAATCACTCTGCATGTCGCTGACTCCAAGAATGTAGGTGTTTTGTGTAACCAAGTGACTGCGCAGCCTTTGAAATAGACAAGCTGTCTTTGCCTGTCAGGAATGAGCAGTGTTTGAGTCCTACCCCCTAGACTGCAGATGCCTGTAATTCGGTTTGATGAAGCGCTTGAACTGAAGGCAGTGGGTTGAGAGAATATCGTTCCCTCTTGTTAAAGGTACATCAGAGATAGACAGATGGGTATGTATGGGGATGGATGGATAGATAGCAAGGAAGGAATATAGAGGCCACTTTGTGTTCTCCATTACCCCATGAGATTCTGCACCAACTCCATTGACTTTAATGGATTTCGTCCACTTTATAGCAGTGTAGTTGAGACGGGAATCTGTCGCTTGGGACCAGCTTCAGACATCTGTAGTCACTTCACAGAGCTCCTCATGCCTCAAGTAACACTGCGGAAAGGCACTGGGTGACTCAAGGACTATCCGGTTCCATTAAGAAGGGTGTGTGGAATCTGGATGTAAGTGATCATCACCCCACCTGGACGACTCCGCCAGACCCTGTGACTTGCCCAAACATTTTGTGTGATCACATGCTGCAGAGCCAGCAACAGGTGGTTTTGAACCACATTGTTTTAATTTTTTTAGTGAAAACAGTCAACTGGGTGTTTAAAAAATATACATAGCAGCAAAACAACATCACCTTCTGAAAGAGGTTAGAAAAGGCCCCTTGTTAAGCAAATAATACCCAATAGGCCAGTCCTCAGCTGGGTGTAGATGCTCTGAAGTCAATCGAGCTGCACCAATTTCTGCCAGCTGAAGATCTGACCCTAACCCCCCCAGCAGCGCTGTCTAGCAGCTTCCCTCTCCCTTCAGGCCTGGAAACATTTAGCCTGCCTGTTTTGCCAACCCCTTGAATGACAGCTTCCCGAAGGAGATCACTATTTATTGTTCTAGCATCCAGGGCTTTGATTAAGCCTTTAAACTGGGACGGAGGCCTCTCAGCCACTCCTTTCTATTTAATCTCCAGCACCCCCTAAATAGCCCCTGCGTGCTGGGCTGTGTTCTGGGAAGGAGATAAAGATAGGAGCTGTCTCTTTAAATACTAGAGGCTGTGCTCTCTCAGGCCACCGTGACATATCTGGGCGTTGGACTGGGGGATGAATAAACAGTGAATGCACCAGATCTGTGGTTTCAGAGAAGGGCTCCGATACGCCAGGGATCCCCCTTTCAATTCGACCCCACGCCACGAGTGGCTTTTAGCATCCTCTGGGATCCTGCCCCTGCTGGAGGAACTTTAATGCACGTTGAGTTGGCTTCCTAGGAGCTACCATTGCCAGGAAGGGCGGCACGCTTGGAGTTTGGTAAGTCTTTGGTGGTGAAATCCCAGCTGAGCTCTGCCAGCAAAGCCACCCCCCCTCCCCCAGACAAGCAAAGAGAGGGGCGCTTTCTACTGCCCTTTCTCTTCCCTGAACTGTGACTCCTCTCCAAAGCGCCATGCAATTTGGAGACACGCGTTTACAAGAAAATAAGCGAGTGGCAAACATGCGCAATTGTATTTGGATGAGCCTAACACATCGAGACCATTAGAGAGCCAGGCTTGCTTTGCATCGGCGGGTGAGCGCGGGAGAAAGCAAAGAGGCAAGAGACAGCAGCAGCAGCAAAAGCAAAGTCTGGTGCATCTAAATTAGGCGGACACCTCTCTTCGGGACTTCGTGCAGCGCTTGGGGATCCGCGGGTGGATGAGTGTTTGAGGTTCAGGGTGAATGGTTTGGTTTGGTTTCCCAGAGGAGTCAGGAGAACAGGGGGCGTGTATCTCTCCCCGCCCGCCCCCCCCCAACCGGGCAGATCTGAGAGGGGTGAGGAGCTGGGGTTACTGAGCTCACCCCATGTGTGTGCTCAGCCCCGGAGCCAGGCTGCGCCCTGCGGGTTCCCGGAGCGCGCGGCGGCCACTTGCACGGTGCCTGGCGGAGCTGGCATTTCCCCTGCTGCAGCTTCCTGCCCCTCGCCAGAGCGCAATGGGGAATCTCCCCCTGCTCTCCCGGCCGCTGCCCGCCAGGAGCCCGCAGGCTGCCGGGGGGCTCGGTTGGAGGCAAGAGGAAGCAGCCCCCATGTGGAGCGCCAGGCCAGTGGCACGGATGCCCCTGCAGCCCCCAGGCCTCCCTCCCTGCACAAATCGAAGGGATCGGGAGCAGCGCGCAGAGTGGATCCTCTGGGGACGGGGTGTCTCCGCTCATACACCCCGGGGGTCCCCGACCCCACCTTGCCAGCGCCGCCGTGTAGGGTGCGGCCGCTCTGGGGTGCTGCTCCCCCAAGCCATGGGCTCGCCTCTTCCCCACGTGGGCTGATGAGACATGCGGGGGGCGGGGAAAGTGCCGAGTACAGCACAGTGATCCAAACGGGTGTGAGTAAAAGTTCCCTGCTGCGGCGAACAAGCGAGCGTCTTTCTCCTGCGGGATTATTTATAGCCGGCTCCGCTGCCTGGCCGGGCTCCCTCTGCCTGACCCAGGGACACACCCTGCGGCACAGACGCAATCCGGGGCGTTGTTCCTCGTTAAAGGGGAAACTTTATAACTTCGCGCTTTGCCCTCCCCTCCTCCCTCTCTCCAGCCCCCTGGCTCAGTTTGCCGTGGGCAAGGGGACTGGCGCATACCCGCACCCACGGGCTGGATTTGCTCCTTTGCTTCGGTTTGATCTTTTGGGGCCAGTCGAGCCTCTGGGACGTCGCTTGGTGGGTGACTATTGGAGAGAAGTAAGTAGCAGCCGCACCGCCCAAGAGCGGGTTATTTTCGATAGTGGAAGCGAGGGGAGGATTTGGGGGAAGATGGGGAGATCCCAGTAGTGTGGCAGTGTATGGTCCCCACCCAGGAGCTGTCTTGCCTGGTGGTGTCTGTCTGCAAATAAATCACCTTCATCTACAGCGATTCTGCTTGTCCCCTGTTGCTTGGTTATGCTGGTTTCTCCCTCTTGTTCTGTAGTAATCTCTGTGCCAAAACCACTAGCTTGTTGTGGGGTGTGTGTGTGTTTAAAGCAGATTCACTCCCCTATACGGATTCCATTAACCTACTTCAGACCTGACTTCACTTTGTTATAATTAGAAACAGTTCGAACCATTGAAGATCGTTAGCTGGGTTTTTGCCCCCCCTGAGACCCGCTTTGTATTTTTGTAACCTGGTTGATTTCCATGGGGTGTGTGCACGGACTGTTGCTTGCAGTGGGGGTGTAGCTGTGTTAGTTTCTCTATGGAAAGGCTCAGAGTTTACACACACACACACACACACAATGCGCCGCATGGTCATTTCCCTTTCTTTCCACGGAGCTATTTAACCAGCTCTGTTGGCCTTGCTCAGCTAATTGAGACGCGCAATAAGTGCAGCAGCGGGAATGGCTGGGGCATGGCTCTCATCAAGGGGCTCCTGACTTTAATGGACTCCAAATGTTGGCTGTGAAGTGGAGAATAGTGGCTTTGTGGAATAACGGTTTCCAGTCCCCCTCCCCCTACCTGAGCCTCTGAGCTAAAAATATTTGCTCAAGGGACTATTTGGGGTGGGTTGGTTTTTTTTTTTAAATATTTTAAGTCTTTGGCTGGAAACCTAGGCTTTCGTATTGTTGTGACGCTGCTTCAGGAAAAACAACCCCTTATTTTAGCTTTGGCTAATGCCACTTCCAAGACAGGCTGAGCTAAGTGGAAATTTTGAGGAATGTAATGGAATTTGCATTTCTCCTTGTATCATGAGTCATCAAACTCTGGACCATGAAACTTAAAGTGTGGAAGGACAATAATGTAGAAGTTGAAGGTTCCTTGATGTTTCACAGCATTTATTAGAACTTCCTCAGCCCTTCTTTGGGCACCGCAAAGAAAACCCCTCTTAGATAGGTTTGCTGCCCTTTTCCAAACCGGGTGATGTCTGGCATTTCTCAAAGCTGTCTCTTTCCTTTTCAGGCTTGCAACATTTGACTCTAGTACTGTAGAGCCACACCATGGATTTCTGTCCAACCCTGGGAGCCTGTCCCTTTCACATTGTGAACCCCAGTTAGCACTTTAAAAATCTCCCCTGACCCCCTCCCAATAGCTGCATTTGTTTGCCAAAAGAGATGTTGCACTGGTGAAGAAATGCATGTAATACAAATTGTTGAGCCTATTAAACTTGAGCCCCTTTGCTTATTCTCTGTTGCTGCAGTGCCCCCTGCTGCCTTTTCAGATCTAGTTATCCCTAAATGCTGGACACACCCCACATAGACACAAATGCAAAGGGCTGACTGCAAGGGATTTTGCTGTCACTTAAAAGCGTCTCTTTTTTTCCCCCCCTTCAGATCTTTCCAAAACTTCAGCCAAAATGCTCCTTTTGTTGCTGGGGATCATCGTGCTCCATGTTGCAGTTCTGGTGCTGCTTTTTGTCTCAACAATCGTTAGCGTAAGTACAAACTTTATCCTTCCGATCCCCATATGGGAACATGGGGGTTGTGAGTGTCGCCTGTGGGTTGGGGAGTGCGGGGATAGAGAAGAGGATATTTGTCGCTGAGCGTCACCCTTCCGAGTGTTTTCTGTAGGAATCCTCTGGTTTCAGCCTGAAGTTCTTTAGCAATCAGAAGTCACGATCTCCGTAATTGAGGACTTTGCACATCAAGCCACCCTCTTGGTTAGTGCTGAGAGCTGCATGTGGGTTAATTTTAGTTTAGCGCAGCAGTGGGGACCTTACCTTAAAGTAGATCAGAATCCATTGCAGAGTTCCATGTGTAAGATTTGTCCATGTAGATGAAACCAAGGGCCAGATCTTGTGAAATTAAAGGGTACGCCTCCAATACCAGACCTTAATGCTTTCAGAGGCCCTGTATTAATTAACATGGCCAATCTAGGCAGACATGTTTGTGGGTTTTTGGCTTTTTTTTTAATGCAGAGCTAGTCACTTCCAGACTAGCTTTCAAAGGGCTTTTTAAAAAGATCTTAAAAAACTACTTCTAAAATAATCTCTAAACTGGTTGGGATTCATATGGAGCAGTTACTGTAGCTTTCCATGCTGCCAAGAAAACCCTGGAGAGGAGTGAAGTGTTTGAGAGCTTTGGCACATATTTAAAGAGAATAACAAAAATCTCCTCTTTTAAGCAGTTGAGTCTAGAACAAGTAAAGAACAACGCAGAGCGTTTTCTTTCCAAACTCAATTGAAATAGGTGTGTGTGTGTGTGTGTGTGTGTGTGTGTGTGTGTG